AATAATTGTAATTTGTAGCATTACAAAATATCTATAGATCCAGGGTCAATTTTAATACAATTGGATTTCTGTAGACGAGCTCAGCGAGCTAATATGAAATCATCTTGTAAATTTACAAGMAAGTTAACTTAWAGCAAAATTGCTTCTTTCTCGATAGAGTTGTATAAGTGGAAAGTCTCTAATTGATTTCCAGCGAATTCCACGAATTAGTATATGCTACAAATAATACTTTGACATGGCAGGTGTTAGCCAATTGACGATTTAGTTTAAAAGCCACATGCTAAATGTCATAAAATCGACAATTTCTCAGATTCTTCCAAGATCAGTTGCCATATAACTGATGACTGAAAATTTAAAATCAAGTGTGTAGAGCTCGTAATAGTGTTAAGTAAAATGTGAAATATTTGTGCAATTTTAAAATATCAAGTTAAAATTTCATTACATTTCTAGTTTTAAGTCTTGGGCTAAGTCTATGAATAAAACAACAATAAATATCGCAGGATCTATCTTAAATTGCTTTCATTTACGTATTTCACGAGAACTGAGACTGCAAATGCTTCAATTTAACAGCTGCTTGCCACTTTATAATCTAGCTTAGCCGCACACTAGATATTAACCCAAATGCATGATCGAGGGCCTGCATTGGGCGCTGTTGCACATTCTTCAGTAGCGGCAACAATGTGAAGTGCATTACGCCGTGTTGTTGTTGTCAGCTGAGTTTATTAGCTGGTGCGCCTGGCCAAGGGTCAAAACGTCGCACGCACACAATTGGACCTCGTAATGCTCATAAAGAAGACATGCATGAAATACATATAAGTACAAACAAATATGTATGAACGTCTGTTTATGTGAGATATTCTTTTTTTGGTCTGCCTTTCACTCGCACTAGACTGGACAGAGCTGGAACCATTAGGCGACGTCGCCGTCTCCGTCGTTGTCTGCTTTGGTCATTTACAGCGGCGCCTCGGGGTTAATGAACGATGTTTTATTTCATTTTCTTTCGAGCAACACGCTGAGCCCCCTTGGCGCTCCTCTAATCTCTCAATTCTTTTATAGATATACTACGTACGTACGTACATTTACAATACAATATGGTATGCGGGGTAGGTGTTTACCTGATAATGTTGCCTGGGAAATATTAAGCGGGAACGCATTGCGGCTGTATGACTGCTGCCATTTGTGGCCGAACCTTTGGGCTGCGTCTGCGTGAGCAGCGGACTGCGCGTTGTCGTCACAACCATAATTGGCTTTTAAGTAGTTTTGGAACACTGATTAACACCTTTTGGTACACTGGAACTGGGAACAGTTCGCCTGTTTTGATTATGTCAGATTCTTAAACTCTTTTTTTTTTACTACTGCTCTTTTTCGAATCACTTTGTTTCTGGGTTCGTTAACATTTTTGCATTTTCTACGCCAAAAATAGAGAGAAAAAACAACAAAAACAAAAAAAAATT